AGCAGGGGTAATATCGTCGAATACACCCCTTAGGGCTAGGCACAAAAGCTTTCGAATCCCTCACTCCCTTCGGTTGTTTGGGGTACAGAAAACGTTTGTGCCTAGCCCTGCGGGGTGTATTCGACAATATTACCCCTGCTTTTCGGTCTATATTTCTTAAATCATTGAACCATTGACACCTAAAAATATGCAAAATACAGTCAGAAATGGTGAAATGTGAAGAAATGTATGTATTCTTAACAATTTTTTAACTAAACTGTATTTTATTTAGAACTGAAACTTGTAGTACTTACTAGGATTTAAATCTAGTTATTATTATTATTTAGTGACTCCAGCATTCAAACTGATATAATCACTATATGCTTTAAGACAAAAAACTATAAAGAATGTTATTATTGAATACTGAGAATACATTGTTTTTACATTACGGAGCTTTATTTCTACCTGAAAGTATTTTGGAACATATCTCTTGCTTAAATATTTTATGCAATGTTACTTTCCAAAACTTTCCAAGAACAATTAGTCCATCCTATACTTTCACATGTTATTCTCCATTTCGTTTTCAAAAATTGTGGGAGCTTTAAACTCTATAAGAGCTTAATACCAATTATACCATGCACCCTCTTTGGCCTCCGTCGCTTTTTTCTTAGGATGGCCAGGCATATTTCAAATTGAATAGTAAAGTCAGTTAAAGTGATATATAGCTGTATATAACAAAGTATCTTTCACTTGATACTGTGATGTCAAGCTAAATAAGCATTCAAACAGTGTATGTTGTCCCAAGATACAATAAAGTACTGATTTCATTTATTTATCAATTCAGATGCCTTGGAATTAAAGTAAATACTTGGTACAGTAAAACCTGTCTAATCCGAACGCCATTGGGACCGGATAAAAGCGTTCAGATTAGGGGGTGTTCACATTTCGAGGTTTTTGCATTCGCAATAATCCGGATTCTGAAGAAATGTGAACACATTCTCGGTAAATATTTATAGTTCTTTCGACCACATAGCTTTATGGCATTCCAGAACTTTGAAAATTTGATTCAAATGAATCTAGTCATGCGGGAAAGCCCCATTATGAATGAGACCATTCAAGATTATTTCCCAAATCATGACAAAATTTGAGCAATTTTGTATAAAACATCAAACATTTTATGAAAAGTGTTCAGATTTGACAGGTGAATTTTTCAAGTATGACTGTTCACTGTTCAAATTGGGAGGTGTTCACATTTCAAGGTTTTTCAACATGGGAGTCAATGGGAGGAAAAAATGGGAAAAGTGTTCAGATTAGGAGGTGTTCGGATTAGCCAGGTGTTCAGATATACAGGTTCTACTGTATATATTACCAATATTATTTTTATTTACTATTGGTGGTACAATGACCAGGTTTGCTTTAATGTCTTTGGTCTAACGGTGCAGTTTGTAAAAAGAAAATCCAGAAAGTTGCAGTCTTAGATGAAAAACTGGTGAAAATCATACTTGCTACAGTTTCTCCCATTTTGAGAAGCCAATAGATCTGTAACTCCACTTACTATGACCTTAAGTCTTCTTATATGTATTATTGGTGGTACTAACTGGAGCCAGAATCAAAATTATGTCAAATAAAAGTAACATTTAAGAGATAAATTGTTCTGAATAGCGCATCTTTCATATTTTTCGCGATATCTGACAGTTTTTTGTCCTTTTGGGTCTTTTTAAACGTACATGCAGAAGTGAATATTTGATCTAGAGCTCTGAAACTTCCAATATCAGAACTTGGTAGCATTATGTCTTGGTATCTTATGTTTGGGGACCAAAAAAGTCACAGATGTTGAGAAAAATATTCATTAAGTAGCAGTTTCAGTTCAAAATTAGTTAAAACTGCACTCACGACATCCTTGGTCCAAGGGTATTTCACTTCTTTCCATACCCTTGGTGCAGCCTTTACAATTGTTGGGATTGTGAAAACAAACTTTCAAATAGCCCTTAAATCACTAGCGAATCAGAACCATTGTTACAATCAAGTGTCAAAATAAACAAAGATTTTCTAAAGATGCTCACAGTGATAAACAGGCATTACATGTTCACTAATGAGTTTATTGCTAATGAATTTATTTCTATTTTTGAACGTCGATAGATCGGTAAGTATTAGTATTAGGACCTTGAATCTGCTCATATTATCTAGTCTTTGTGGTACTTCCTTATTGCCAAGGTAATTTGGAAACACTGTGACTTACTTAATTACCTTTCATGTGTTATGCCTAGGTCACATAGCCGCTGGGCGCCGGCCGATGAGTAGTCATCGGCCGATTTCTAAATCGACCGGGCGCCGATGACTTTTCACCGATGTCTTGATCTAATCGTGAGTATGGTCACATTAGTACAGGCATCGTACGGCGCCCGCAATCAATTGAATCTGAAAGACATCGCACGGGTATCGCAAGGCTATCTGCCGATGGCCGTACGGCACCCGCCAGGACATCGGTCGATCTACAGGCCTCTAGATTTATACTAAATTCTTGTATGACCCAGTATGACTGTTCCACATGGCGTGAATGCAAGATTCGAAAACGAAATACTTCGATAGACAGGACTTCCAGGATAATAATGGTTTCATGCAATAAAAATCAGAAAAAGAAGATCCTCTTTTCGAGTAAATAGGTTCAATATTTAGAAAAAAATGCTGACATGGGGTCCCTATTCATAATTTTTCAAATTGTTTGATTGATATTTTTACTATCATGGATAAGAAGACACATTGTTTTAATAAAGACACTGTATTTATGCCCAGAAAGTACTCATGGTGAAAGTTATGACCGTCTAAAATCACTTGCCATACTGCACGTGGTCTTTTCATCAAAGTGCACCCTTACCTTAATTCATTTTTAGATCTTTCATATAAACAAATACTATGTCTACCTGTCCATCCAATACTATTAGCAAAATTCCATATTTCTGCACCTTTCTTTTGACTGTTCTCGTAAAGAGAATTTGTTCAAAGAAATTGGCAATTTTTTCTTCTATTTCAAGTGGAATACCCTCTTCCCCGACACATCTAAATCTCCATCATCCGCCAGCTCATCACTGGCATTGTTATTGTCTTTTTCCACCTGTCTTCCCAAGGCCTTCCTCATATATGACCCATTGGCCTTATCCCCTCTATCCTTAGCCTTTGGCATATTAACTGTAATTATTGAGACAGTGAACTTCGTATTAAAATTGTGACCCTTCAAAATACTGTACTCACAAAATCAGTCAGAAGATTTTTAAAATAAATGATTTGTAATGGTACATGCATGAGTGAATATACGTATAAAAATGTATCACTCTATTCAATGTGTATGACAGACATAAATGTGTGTCATTGTTTTACAGTAAGCCTAATCGTTTCATTTATGTTTTATAAAAAATCTCTGACAGTGTGTAGTAATTATAATTCCTTACCTCATTATTTTTAGAACCTTTATATCACTTTATAAGTAATCATTATTAAGATTTATCAAACAAATCAGCACGCAAAATCCCAAGATGACCGTGCGATGCCACCGGGCGCGGTCGGGTAGGTACCGATGAGTTTGGTTGAGAAAAAATCGCCAAGACATCGGCAACTTTTATCTCCGCGATAAAACTCTGCCGACGCCCGTACGATGTCTAAAAATCGGCCGATGAGTGGCGATCATCGCCCGGCGCCCGTACGATGCCCGGGCTCGCCGGCCGATTTTGAACAAAATACTCATCGGCCGGGCGCCGTAGTGAAAATCGGAGCCTATATGACCAAGGCATTAGTGAACACTGAAAATGAAACAGCCTATTATATAGATTTCATTATGATACATTGTACAAAATTGAAAACGTATATATAAAATATGTAGAGTCCTATATTTTAGTAACAAATGAATTACATTGTCAAGTAACAAGTGGAGATGTTTTGAATGCATTGATTTGCTTTAAATTCTATCATTACAAGTTTTTAATTGTATGCTGCAAAATGATAACATTGACCACGCCCACTTTCCAGGGGTAGGGTACTATAAAGTCATATCAAAAATCATAAATAGTACATTATCATTATTATAATTGTATTACAATATCAAACAAAGCTTGAATTAGTTTTTAGAAAACAATTTTGAGCTATTTAAACTGCCATCTTTTGCTGGAAGCTACAAATATAAAATAGGTGAGACTTAAAAATTACTAAAATTGCATATTTTTTCCTATTAATTGCAATATTTCTGAGACTAATACAGATATCGGCCTATAACTTTAGGATATTATTCACCTTTGGACAGGTAATGTGTGCTGTAGAAAGCAGAACAATAGCAACTATACCCTTTATGTTATGAAATGGTCTTATAGTACCCCCTGAAATTGCAGGAATTGAAGTCCAATTCGGCCGTGAAAATTGTTTTTACCACTTTAAAACCCATCACCTTATATTTTCATACACCTACTAGGTTACTCTAACATACTGTATTGCAAAAAGTTACTTCTTGCAAACTTCCGGCAAAAGTGTGCCAGCATCTGATACAAAATGGAATTACGTAGTAGGCAAATATTCCAAATTCACAGCCACCATATTTTCTGATTCATCGCGGCATTCTCAACCCCGCTGTACAGCCTAAGTTTTACCTGTTATTTGTCCTCAGAATATCAAAGTGTGGTAATATAACTTGAGCCCGGATTAACCCCGCGTTGTGAGATATATCCCCAATGTTAAAACTCCACTTGATTCGATACTCCGCTGGTCCCCCTTCGCTTTCCGTAAAAACAATAAGAATGATTTAGTGTTGTGTATGGTATATCTGGTATATTAAGAAGTTGTACAGGATTGCCATCAATCAATAGACAAGATGCAAGTTGAAATAATTTAGTCAAAGTGATATCATATTTGAAATCTACATGGAAAATTAAATCTAAATATGTGGTTTTTAATAATTGTTTATCAATATTGAATTTTTGGGGGGAAATGTGGCTTCTAGTGAATATGTGTGTTATAACCCATTTTATGAAAAATTGCAGATCAACTTCGGGAAATCAAGAAGTCTTCCATAGCTAAGACGATCTGTAATAATGGTGATTCCATCAAATACATCCAAAAGCGATATCTCTTACTTCCACGGAGTGAAATACCACAGTCAGCTAAGTAAGTATTTCAAGCACCACTGTCAGCTAATAAGTGTTTCAAATATCACAAAATTAAATGTTGGGCCTCTCGGGTCAAATTTGTTTGTGTCGCGGTCATGGATGCTATCATTGGTTGTAAAGTAAGAAGAATAAAATCCATTCACCAGGTCATTATTTCCATTTACACATTTGAAAACAAATAAAGTAATTCTCAACTTAACAATTAAATGACTATTTAGCAATATGTGTTCAATAGATCAATAGGTGCACCAAGGGAATTGATTTTTCAGTTTGCTCTACAATATTATTATCCATGATGATTTTATTTAAGATGACATCATTATGTTTAAGAAACGATTCTAGACATTAGGCATGTTTTAGATGGAATTCTACATTAGAGTAAAATAAAAAGATCCTACGTGAGTAGGTAAATACATGTAGGTGTGGCAAAAGAGGTCAAAGGTCAAATATTTGGCCTGATGAATTCCACTTACACCTTGATAGTGAATCACCTATACCATTTGTTTAGATTGTGTGTGCTCCTTTGGAATCATTTATTACACTGTGGCTAGTCGATCTATGTGGATGCAGTCAGGCACATGTAATGTTTCGTGAGTGCCCGCCTCTGTACTTTTCAATGGAAGATTTTTGCACTTCTATTTAAATTATCTATATTTACTCATCCGTGTATATCATACTTCATTGATTTACAAAACCAAAGCTGCGCTATGAACACACATTCTCTGATATTTTTACGGAGAATAGATAACTCAAACTAGTTCACTCGACCAGTTTTATCATCTCGCTCATAGCTGTGAGAAGGTATGTATAATTTGCCATAGGTTTACCTTATATTGGGGAATAAAAAATTCAAGTAATATGATTATTTTACGAACACAAATATGTCTGTGTGAAGTAAAATACAAATACAATGCGTTTTATAATATTTTTGGGGTTATGGTATGAAATAGCCGCTTTAAAAAAGCAATTTAATTATGATGTATCATGTGGATTAGTAGACGTTCTTAATGGATTCAATGAACAGACTGGCTAGGTTTTAATTGAATCATTTTGAATGTGTGTATTTTTAATATTTTAATCCACAGTGTCCAAAAACAATAATAATGCTATATTGGTAATTACCCAAATGCGAGTAGGTAGTTACCAGTTTCACCACCAGGTGGCTGATTCGGGTCAATTAACATTTCAGGTATATAAGAAAGTTCCCTTAAACTTGAATATTATCAATTTAAGTGGCTCAATTTTCATATAACCCTTTTGTGTCTAATACTTATACTAATGAAAATATGTCCAGTAAAGCAAAATATCATCTGTCCACTAAAAGAAAAGATATTTCATTTTTTGTGATTTTATAGCATGGGGTCTATGGGGAATCTCCCCGAGCTAGAAGTCACATTTTCGAAGAAAAGTAATTTTTCAAAGTTGATAAACACTTTTTAAAACCACATTTCTAGATGTAATTTTACATGTAGATTTCAAATATGATATTACTTTGACTGAATTTTGAATTTTTAATGACGTAAATCAAGATTATTTCTACTCGCATCTGGGTTATTGGAAAGATTCCACTTACCACTATTTCAAAAAAATTGTAAATAGATAATATTATTCTTGAATTTGGGTCATTTGTTTCAAGGAATCTGTAGGCTCGTTCAGCTGAGCTGACAAAATCATCAAGATTTACGGATGGTCCATCTGTTGGCTGCTCATTGTCACTTTCAAGGAATGTTAATAGCTCTGAAACTTGTAGCCTTGCCCAAGCCGGTATTTATTTACTTATCTGATCTTGAATTATTACCATCTTGTACAATCCAATGCATCATCGCTGATATTATGCTAAGTTATTCAGCGGTTCTGAGATTCCCATAATAACTACGCTACCTAAGGGTATCGCGAAACCTTATTGATTGACAAGATCGCATGGACACGACGTGTGACTTCAGGCTGATTGACCAATCAAAACGTTATCTGATATGATCGAGTGTTTCTTGAGAGTTACAATATATTATGTTATTAGATGTACATTGGAATGTAAGCAGTCATTAATACTCGTATAAATGAAATCATGCAATTCAATGTTGATTCAAAATCAAAACTGAATTCGTGATGGAAATGCACGAAGACCTAGTCCGGCAATGTAGGGCCGTCGTTGATTGGTCAAATTTTACCGACAAAAACATTGGGTCGGTAAAGCATGTGGCTTTCACTTGGGTACAAGGCGGTCATAATAGAAATCAAGATAAGTAAAAGAGACCGACTTGGGCAAGGCTATGAAACTTGATTTGTGGGTATTCCAGTGGGTTGATGGGTCTTTGGCTCTGAATTCACTTCATTCGCGTACCTAATTTCAACATTTTCATTGTCATCATTACATGTTATGGACCTGTTTTCAAATTAATAGTATTAGGGATAAAACCAAAAGTTTTTTTTCATCTGTAATGGCATTTTCCAGTTGATTGGTTTATACGAGGGGTGATCCAAAAGTCTTGGACGCCCTGCTCTAATTTTGTTGGTTTTTGATAAAATTACTTTAAACTTTCCAATAATAAAGACCAACAACCTAACTACTTTGTGGATTAATTTCATGGTGAAATAGTATATTCTATGTAGTTTTCTCTATAGTGACCCTACAACCCGGAACGGTATTCGCACATGGCAACTTTCAGCATTAAATGTTGCCGCTATTTGACTTGTTTTGCAAGTCTTGACCACTATATTTCCTTAAATTTTGAATGTTAAACCATGTTAGTTTTCTTCCTTTGTTATTAGGCAACCAATTAATTGTGTTATAATCATTATGTCACATATGGCAATGCCTGTATACACAGTGTATGTCAAGTTCTAAGAAAATGACATCAGACGATCAACCCTCATTCTGGTGTAATTTCTGCTCTAAGATGGCTGCTGAAATGTCTTATTTTTGCAATGGTCTCATTACCTATAATGTACGCGACTACCCACGATACATTGCATATAAATGACTGCATCCACATAGATCGACTAGCCACAGTGTATTATAGCATTGATAAGTGTACTTACTTGTATGACTATGTGTATGAGTGCACATAAAAGAACACAGCGCTCTTCCAAGGAGGGGTTCTTATGGATAGGTTCTTGAGTCTGCCTTCTAATTATGACCATATATATTTATATAGGAGAAGTATTGTTCACCTTCATCGCCGGTTAACAAAATACAATACAATATACAATTATTGACCTCTCCAGAGGTTTACTGTCAAAATTATATCTCGAGACTGTAAACCGAGACCGTAGGTCGAGGTTTACAGTCGAGGGATATAATTTTGACAGTAAACCGAATGGAGAGGTCTATAATTGTTTTGTTAGTCCGAAGAATATCTTAGATTTTTCTGACTCTTGAAGTTGACTTGAAGTTGGATCCAGACCCTCGAGACGTTCATGTTGTATTTCAGTATATCGGCAGTAAGTTCACTCAATGGAGTCAAATTACTCTCCTGGGCGAAGTCCACTAAAAGCTTTGTACAAAGTTTTAGATTTTTCTTCGTATTTTGACTGTCTTTACACTCTAAGAGACTAATAATATCCTCATCTTCAACATTTTTGAAACGGCTAGTGCTAGCGGCGGCCATTTTATCGTCTGATAATGACGTCATTTTAGTGGAATGCTGGGAATATTATTCACCGGCAATGCATTGCGCGGTGTACAGTTAAAATTGTTCACCGCTCGTTGACCAATCAAAATCGAGTATTTCAACTGAGGTACTAACAATCCAAATTATGGTCCCTCTCCAAGGTCTCGTATTTATGGCCATTTTACAGAACATACTCAAAACGTCAAAACATGCAAATTCGCCCGATATGAGCCCCCAGACTTTTATCTTTTAGGCTATATCGAAGATAATAGAGAGGATATAAGATTTCACCTTTTGGACGACGAAAACCTGAACATGAAGTGCGATGTGCGGGCAACAAATTATGTTGTCAAGTTTGAATTGTTTTATAATCACGTCGACGAGTAAATTCAATGGAAATCCAATAGGGTCAGTTGGGTTTCCATCTTGTGTTGAACCTGTATCACGATAAATTGTGAGTGAGGTTTAGGTAACATAACTTTGAAGTACGCTCTCCTCCAATTGAACTACGTGTTAAAGCCTCTTTACGTTTGGATTTTTATTTACTTAACCGGCGATGAAATAACTTATATTATTATATCACTGTCATATTCCTCACTCTTTCATTGGTACATATCCTACAAGTGACTAAAAAATAACTCGTCGCTTATTTTGCTGCTCAAAAGGAACATTTAGAGAAACCGCGTACGCATAAGGGTTTACGTTTTGGTTGCCCGTGCATCTATTCCTATCTAATGTCTACACTAACAACTCTAGAAGTATCAGAGATTTGAAAATAGAGATTAGAATGAAGATGACAGCCATTACACATGCTATCTATGAATAGAGAGGTTAAGCAACACGTTCAAATGCAAACCGTGAACCTGAACGAGTACGTTAACGCTCAAGTACACGTCTGAAACCATGCCAGTGGACGTAGAGCTGTATTTATATGGTGACTGTCGACTGTCATAGTATATACCAGTGGATGGGGAATTTAATTATCTTTAATTTGGTATATCATAAGTTCAAAGAATCTGTTAGCCCATCTACCCAAAGATGCCCCCAAAAGTTTCATTTAAAATAACATGAAAATAGGTACTCTTATCAATAATGAACATATCCAAAATGAAATTAGGTCATTGTGATTAAAACTAAGGTTATTCAATGCATTCAAGTTTGACTATGCAAATCATATGAAAATCATTTTAGGGGTACTTTAGTCTTCACTCATGACTATTTTAAACATGTTGACCATTCAATCAATCAATATATCTAAACATCATTGAGGTAGAACACAAAGGGCAACATATTATTGAAAACACAAATCATAAAATAACCCCTAAAACGCATATCGATAAATACATTTATACTTATACAGTACTCTGACACATTGTAGCTTCATACT